AGCATTGTGTATAAGTTTTAAAGCATTTGGTTGAGGCAAACTAAAGTTAGAGGCTGGAATGGCAAATTTAGCCATTTTTCCATTATAAAGGGACATAACTCGAGAACGGTAAAAGTGACGCCACCTAAATATGAACTTGATCTATGTTTGGTGGTAATAAGCATTGAATATAAGTTTTATAACACTTGGTTGAGGCAAACTAAAGTTAGAGAACGGAAACTAATTTTGGGCTGTACGGACGGACTGACGATCAGACGGACAAGGGTAAAACTTAATGCCCCCTCCGCATAAAAACACAAAACAATACGTATATTTCAAGAATATATTCTTTATAGAATAATTTGATGGTATAAAGAAAGATTGTTTTCATATAATAACATACAGACTCTGTGTTTGACAAATTTATACAGCCAAATATACAAAGATGAGATATTGATGATCAACCAAGAGAACGAACTTCTGTATCATTATTTTTAATTAATTTACATATATATATATATATATATTTTTCAATACCCAAATTTCTTTTGAAGAAAATTAACTGCCGTATTTCAAAACATTTACATAGATGACAAAAGTCACATTCAAAGCGGACCGGGAACACAAACAATCGCATTAAAGACAAATTTCATTATTTTAGCAAATCAGTGAAGCTTTGTCAAACTCTATTTTTCATAGGAGATATCGTAGTGTATTTTATTGGGCCAACTCGTGATGACTCAACCGTGATTTAACGACAATTGTAAAACATATCAATGCAAATAGGTAAAATTTCTAATGATCTAGAAGGAATGACAAAGGCCAATGTATAATTATTTTCATAACGGAATAACATTCGAAAATACATGGTAATCCTTATCATCTGAAGTAATAAGACACCATGGGCCTGTTTATCGAAGCTGTCCTCGGATTTGTCCTAAGACCTATCTTAGGAATAATTCAGGATAAAGTTAGGACCCACTTACGACATTTCTCAGCATTCATGCACATCGAAGCTATCTTAGGACTATCCCAGCTAGGATGTCCTAACCACTGTCCTAAGTGTTAGCGTAAAGGAAAATAGGATATTAAATATAAAAGATATATAAAAATGCATCGAATTTCGCCAGTAGTAAACATTTTAAGATTAAAAATTAGAATTATCATTAGTATTGTTATAAAGATAATAAGTAATATTTAGCTTAGTTCTTTTTTTTTTTTTTTTTAAACTTTTTTTTGAAGTAAATATTCTTTCATATTTATACCCCAAGCAACGAGTTACGGAGGGTATAATGTTTTTGACCCGTCCGTCCGTCCGTCCGTCTGTCCGTCCGTCTGTCTGTCTGTCCGTCCGTCTGTCCGTCCGTCAGTCCGTCAGTCCTGTTTCTTGTCATCGCAACGCCTCTCAAACCACACAACAGAATTTCATGAAACCTTTTCAGATAATAAGGACATACTACGTAGATGTGCATATCGACAGGAAATTACGATTCAATTTTTTTTCCAGGAGTTACGCTCCTTTGAACTTATTTGCCCAATATACTACTGCAACCTTTTGTCATCGCAACTCCTCTCAAACCACACAACAGAATTTCATGAAACTGTGTAGATAATAAGGACATACTATGTAGATGTGCATATTGACAGGAAATTATGATTCAATTTTTTTTTCTGATACAATTTTTTTTTCTTACACTTATTTTATTTCTCCAATGACAATGTGGGGACGTGGGGTATTTGAGCGCGCTCAGTAAGGTTCTTTCATTTAACCTTTTTCTTCATTTATTTAATGTGATTTATTTATATATTATGTGTACTGCTACCTAGATAAACATATATAGGCGGTGGTCGTTTTTAATATATATTTACTATAAAAGAATATATCCTAAAGTTAGGACTATCATGAGACCATCTTAAGACACTTAATAGGTGTCCTAAACTTAGGACGATTCCTATGACTTTTTCTAAGTTACGACATGTTTGATAAACCCAATTAGGACACAAATATGTCCTAAGATGATCTTAGGACATGTCCTAGTCCTAAGAGAGCTTCGATAAACAGGCCCCATATGCGCAACCAACTATCATAAATAACAAAAGAACAGACGACATCGTGATTAAAGAAAAACAAAAACAATAAAATTAACAGGGGTTCACAAAACCATGAATACTACACAACTTAAGATTTCCCAACACGAATTCCTCAAAAACCTAGGTTGAACCAACTACCATATAACAAAAGAACAGACAACACCATGATCAAAATGAAAACGAAAACAATAAAATTAACAGGGCAAAACACTTCACAAATTTAGATTTATCAACACGAATTCCTATAAAACCTAGGTTGAACCAAGATGCTATTTTTAATTTCAACTAGTTTAATCTCTATTTATACTTGTTGAGACACTAAAACCAAGGTCAAAACCACAGGCACTTATCTCAGAAACAAACTACCTATACACCTTATGTTATCTTAAAGTACATAAGTTTTCTTACATATATTTCGATGTGCCCCGTGCTGTCTATCATTTGTTGTTTAGTTTTATATGTATTGTCTATCATTTGTTGTTTCGAAATTATTGGTCTTTTGTATGGCAATGTATGACAAATATATGTTGGGAGGCCTCGTCCGTGGTTATAGGTTGTGTAATTCATTGACCGCTCCCGACATGTGTAACTTCAAGGCATATTTTAGCGGCGATCGATGTCTTTCGAAATTACTGCACTTTTCTTGTATCCCTGGTGCTTTCGACTGGAGAACCGTCGTACACAAGCATCGCACAAGTTGGCACTTCGAGGTGGGTGGGGAGCAAGAAGGTGAACTGTGGTTTGTTTTTGTCAGTGGTGCCGCTTGGGTCGACGCTTGGGGCCGTCTTGACCTTTTTGTAGGGTGTGAATGATTCGTTCATTGTTGAAGACCCTACATCGACTGTCAAGATGAAGAACAGGAATAAAAGCCCTGTTCATTGATAATTTTCTATGTTTCTATGTATTATGTGCGATTTTGTCCCCTGTACATTTACTACATATCCTTTCATTTTCTATAAGTATTTATTTCCGGGACAAGTGCCTGTGGTCTTAACAGCGGAAAATAAAATTATATGTATGCGCTTCAATTGTATATGAGCATAACACACTGCAAATATGTATATATTCCACATGTCAAATATGACACTTTTAAAGGAAAAGTTAAAGAATTTCTGGCCAGGAGGACTTCACCAACATAATCGTATTTTATTTAAAGTTACCATTACAATTTGACTACTCAAAATAGGAAGAGGTCTTTTGCAGTTGCTGATGCGCTTCTGCAAAACAAAACGATCGATTCTAAAATATTAATCATAGATTGAACAATTTCATAATTGTTTGTTATAACTGACCAAGTAATATTCAACTGTAACATGACATGTTTTTTTTAATAAGCAATAAATTCAGCCTAGTTTTCTCGTTTGAATTGCTTTACATTTGTCAATCGGGGCCTTTTATAGCTGACTATGCGATATTGGTTTTACTCATTGTTGAAGGCCGTACGGTGACCTATAGTTGTTAATTTCTGTGTCATTTGGTCTCTTGTGGAAAGTTGTCTCATTGGCAATCATACCACATCTTCTTTTTTTTTATACATACATACAAAGACTTCACTCGCGCCTGATTGTTTTCTTCATTATCGAAAGATACCAAAGTGCCGTGTAGTAATTAGATAGTTAATGTGTTTTGATCAAATGTGAAGATTGACTATTAGATTGAGTGATTGAAAGGGAACTGTGTAATCATGCTTTGTTTCCGTTATTATTCACCTCACTTGAGTGATATATCACACGGGATGTACCAGTCCTACAATCGTTAACGTTGATACAAAAGGACATCAATCGATTGTCAATGTTAAAACAGTTTTGAAATTTGTGTGACAGGAACTATATCAAACATAATGAAAGTAAGTTATTATAATCAAATTTTCAAACCGCCGTTATTCTATGAATTTATTAGATATACGTTTTTTTTATAATTTGCACCTTTAATTTACTATTTGGTCACAGAAACACGGAGCTGTGGTATGATTGCCAATAGAACAATTATCCAACAAAAGAGCAAATGGCAAGAATTTAAACGATTAGGGAGCTGCCATTTGATTTTTATAGAGGGGGGGGGGGGGGGGGGGGGGAGGCTAGGATGAAAAATTTTGTCCTGCCTTTTTACTTTTCACTCTATACGGTCCTGCCTTTTTTTTTTTTTTTTAGTTTATCCTGACTTTTTTTTTTTGCAAAGTGTCTCATCCTGCCTTTTTTTTTTACTCAAAACTCCTTTCCTGCCTATTTTTTTCAAATTTCATCCTAGACCCCCCCCCATAAAAATCAAATGGTAGCTCCCTTACAGGTCAATGTAGGGCTTTAAACAATGAGCAAAACTCATACCATATAGTAATATATAATAAGCAACGTAAAAAAAATATAAATCATACAAAAGGGAAACCTAACTTTTATTTAAGCTAATAACATAAAAAGAAAAAAAAACAATTATGATAGACACCAGACTTTTGGCTTGGGACAGGTCTGATTATCCCATAAAAAATGTAGCGGGATTAAACATGTTTGTGCACTCTCACTGACCCTCCCCTAACCACGGACAGTGGTATAACAGCACGTTAGTAGAACAAAATGAAAATCTGTTGATGAAGGTGTTTGCATATTTTTTTTAAATGTTCCTATCCTAGTATTTGTCACATGGTTATTTGATTTAAAAAGCTTTGCTCGCGAGGGTCATCTAAAGTGTTATGTTTAATACATCGGATGTTTATAAGTGGACTCTCAATGTTCATCTCCTTAGAATTAGACTTAAAAGTAATAACCGTGCCTTTGTACTTCCATATTTTTATTTTTGGGAGTTTAAGAAATCCTGATGAAGGTATATCTATAAAAGCGGTTCGGAAGTACCTAATTTCTAAAGTGTTATTTTCATTTCAATGATAATTGTATTATTACTGGTGTGCTATATAATCACTCACATACTTTTAACTGGTTCTTTATTTATAGAATGTCTACGCCAAAAATACTCAAGGAAATAAAACTAAAGATGCTTTTACTTACAAAACCTTGCGATATATTGGTAATTAAATAAATATCCCTTTATTAACTACTAGCCTGAACAAAATATACTGAGATGTCTTCCGATAATTACTCCGGGATAACCGATGTTCATGTCAGTGCAATGTCACGAACCTTTATATTGATCACAATCCTAGCATTTGTAACATAATAAAAACGTCTATTAGTAAACATAGGCTTCCTCACCACAGTAATCATTGTAAATACAAGGTCTCCTGTACTTCCGTCTAAAAGATAGCAATCGACCGATATGTTGTTACATCCTAATAATTATTTAACTTTTTCATTTCAGATCGGACAGATTCAATCATCTAAGAAATAATGGAAACAATACAATCACTTGGATATAATGTAACAATGAATGGTTCTAAATCTGTTTCAAATGAATCAAATCCAGAAAGTGCATTGATAAAATTGAACGATAAAATGGCGTTGCGGTATCTTCCTGTTATAATCTATATATTTTTATTAATGGTCACAGGAATTGTAGGAAATACATTGGTATGTTTTGTTTACGTCAATAACAAAAAGAAAACATCCGCTAGTTATTTTATTTTAACATTGGCTTTACTTGACCTTTTTAACTGTGTCATTGGTATGCCTAGTGAAATAGTAGATTTGAGGTACCCATACATGTTTTATTCTCTTGTTGCTTGCAAAGTTTTACGAACAATTGAATATATATCAACAGTCGGATCAACTGTAGTTCTTTTAGCTGTAGCAGTGGATCGTCATAATCGAATATGCAACTTAGGAAAACACATGTCGAGTGAAAAGGCTAAGAAAGTTTGTCTTGCTGCTGTTATCATCGGAGTTGTGACGTCATGGCCTGTGCCTATTCTTGGAGGACTTAGTACAGTCAATGTCAATATTTATGGTGCTAATGCTGTTGACTGTTCCATCGAACAGTCAATGAGAAAGACGATATATCCACCACTATTCAATGGGCTGTTGTGTATTTATTTTATATTTTGTATTGTATTTTTTGGGATTGTATATTCTAGAATTATTGTGTTCGTAAAGAAAAGAAAAGCGATAGCACGACAAATGAGTTCGTCACTGAGACGCGAGGAAACAAACAATGACAAAGGTCACGAACCTAAAGTAAATCTTCTGAATGAACACAATCCAGCAACTCATACTAACTCAGAAAGATCAAATGCGAGCAATGGCAGTGTCAGTCGTAAAAATAAAAATAAACACAGGATTAAAGTGACTCGAACTACAGTTATACTTGGTGCAGTTACATTGGCTTTTATTATTGGTTATCTCCCTTATTTAATGATAATGGCGGTAAGAACTCTTGTCACAGACTTTGAAGAAAATTTAAATGCTGCAGAGGATATCGGTATTAAATTTTGTGTGAAATCGTATCTTATAAACAATGCCATAAATCCAATTATATATTGTTTCTTAAATCAGAAATTTAGAGATGATGTTAAAAAGTTAATTAAGAATTGTTGTTAATTAAATTGGATTGTGTTGTAATTTTGTGGGTTGTCAAGGATTGAAGTAATATTTAACCATCGGTTATATTCTGAACAGACAATGTGTCAGGTTTATGTTGTAAGATATTTTATAAAAGCTTATTAAAGTCGGTGATAAATAGCTAAAAACAACTGTTTGGCTGTGTAATTCTAATTTATTGATTGAATGAAAAAGGAAGGTATGGTTAAGACACTACTTTGGGCATTCAAGAATAATACGCGTATCAAAATTATATCATTTAACGTCCTTCAGATAATATAAAAATAAAGAGGTATGATTCCCAATTAGACAACTATCCACCAAAGTTCAAATAAAGTGGATGTAAGCAAATATAGGCAACCGTACACATGATATAAGTCTTGTCACATATCAGTAAAGATATTTTTATTCTGTATTATATATTTACTTTATTGCTTCAATTTTCTTGCATGTAATACGCAACGGAAAAAAATAGTCTCATTTTGAGATTTTGTCATCAATATTTAGTACCACAGCCTTACGCAGGAAGATGTTTGACTGCAATATGTCTCATACAAGAATGTTAATGTCAATAAAATATCTGTTTGGGGTAAATGCGTGTCCCATATTTAATATTGCCAAACACAAATATTGCCATTGTATGTTAATTCCGACGTATTTATGACATCACAGTGAAAAAAAAACATTTTCGATTTCAGACGCAGGATTATGGCACTTTTCATATCCCCTTTCAAAATATTTAAACAACCGCTACTGATGCACTGTACCACTGATATTCAAATTAAAATAAACTGATTCTAGTGTCCTTTTTATTTGTCTTTATTTGTCCATTGTAGAGTCAACCGAAGAAAGATGACTGGTACCTACAATGTATGTCATCTATACATTTCATATTCCATTTGATGGACGTTTAAATCATATTGAAACTTGTAAACCTCACGAAAACATGTTTCAATAGATTTAATATTTCATTTCTTAAAAAAAATACATCTCATAACCTTCATGATTGAATGACAACACAAAGTTATATAGAGATGTATTGTGGAATTGGTGTAGAGTGGGTGATGAGTCAAGACACGTCAACCTTATCAACACAAAAAAACTTTAAGGAGTCAACATAAAGCCTTCAACAAAAGTCGAGTCTATTAAAGTAGTGAATAGATTTAAAGAAAGATACACAACACTCAATTCTCAAAAATGATTTAAAAAAATCACAATAAGATATAACAAAAGACAACTAATTAGGATGTTCATGAATTGGACCGGCAAATGAAGATTCGATCGGGTAAAACAAGATTTTGAGAATTCAACCTTGCCTCATTTTGACCTCGATCAGTGAACCTTTAAAAGGTACATAAGACACCATACAATGAAAATAAAAACAGGAAAAGAATTTTACTTTAACAATATGATTCTACTTGCAGGAATATAATTAAAAGTGGTATTTCATCAAGATTATTACGGTATTATTATTAATGATAAGACTAACATATTAAAGAAATGTTTGCTTTGTAGATTTATTGATAAAGAAGTTTAACAAAAACACCGAACTCTATGGTAAATTAAAAAAGGGAATTTCAAAGTCCATAAAAAATGACAAAATCAAACGTTATAAATCATCGTTACGAGTGAAAAACAACTATCATATTCCTGAATTCGTACAGGCATATAGTAGGTAAAGCCAGGTTTCATTGCTAGCTAAACTTCCCACTTGATTGACAGTGGTTTCTAGTTCCCGTTATATTGTTGTTCATCAATGATTCTGGTATTTTGGGGGATGTACATCAATTCCTTGATCAATAGTTTGAAGCAAGAATAAATGTTGAAATTTTGAACAGATTTATTCTTAATTGACATTTATCAAAATTATGTCTTCCAATGTTCTGTTTTTGGTGTTACTGCATGAAATCGACTCGGAAGTAGAGCCATTGATAGAAGTGTTTGACAAGTGTCTATTAGAAAAAGACAGTCTATATTTATAACTGTGCTAGTATGATGAACGATATTTCCTCACGAATCTTGTCTTGAATCTAAACACATGTAACTAGCTTAGAATAATGCCCACTTTTTTATGAATGAATGTAATAATCAGGGAATTATGCCTCTTCTATTTATGTTTTGTACACTATATGCATACGATAGAAAGATAAGAGTCAAGTGATTATCAAAAAGAAGAAAAGTTACAAAATATCCGAGGTCATAAAGTAAATGTTCTTCCTCGGAGAATTTCAATTTGGTTTTCTTTTCCTTAATTATTATTTGTATATGTACTGTCTATATTTAAGGATTTTAACTCTTAACAATTCTGTAATATAAGATGCAAGCATTCAGATTCATAAAAAAACTATAAAATACATGTAAATGGAGTAATATGTTGTGTTCATATTCTGTTTTTGGAAATTTTTTTTTTTTTAATTTACCTCTAGATTTAGGTTAAGATACATTTTATAAATGATGTATAAAGTCAAGATTTATTAAAAATGTTTAATGTACATAACGATTATATAATAGTTGAAGCACTCTACAACTACGTACTTCAGAGATGTTAAACAACCAATGAGGTTCTCGCACGTACGATTGTCAAATAAAACACTGCATGAAGATAGGATTTGAATCCAAATACAAATTTACCGAAGGGAAAGGAGTGGTCACGATTCCAGAGAAAGTATGCCCAAATGCATTTTTTTTTATAGCAGCAAAATATCTATGGTTTCATTTCCTTCCCGTTAAATGATTCAATACAACCTATACATATAATTTCCGGGGTTTAGTTGGTACAATTGGAATGCATTTAATTTCCTCATTATCTAAAAATCTTAAACTTTCACCAAAAATATTTATTTCGAGGTTCAAACATTAGCATGGCTTATTTCAAAGCAGACAACAAAATCAAAAACGACTGGGGGTAGCCCCACACTCCAATCTTGACAGATTGTGGCAAATGTTTAGAATTTATAAACAAAATGTATAAAACGTTTTCTTGAACTAAAAACAAAATTACATTGGAAGTAAAGCTATATAGTGCCTTTTGGTACAAATTAATTCATTTTGGGTCGATGTCCTTCGATAAAATTAACAGAAACATGTAATTATAAAAATTTGCAATTTTGTATATAAAAAAATAAAATATATAAAAATGCATTCGACAACAATATACAGCGAGGATTAATATTTTGAGTTCATGGAAGTATGCAAACAGTTGATAAATGTTTTAAGTATATGATAGAAGACTCTTTAAAATTCAAATTGCAGTAGAATTTGCCAATATTTTTGTATTTTGAACAAATACAGGAAATTGCCCTACCTCTTTGCCACCCTTCATATCTACCTAGTGCAATAATGGTAATTTGTTCTCGTCCTGAAAATGCAAAAAAAACAAAACTTGACGTTATGTAAGATACAATCAATCAATCTTTTCCGTGAAGATGAAAAATATGAACTGAAGGGATTTTTAATATATGATTGATTTTACTTTATATTAAAGTCATATGAAACTTTAAATTAAAAGAAAAGTTGATTATGTTTTATATACTTGAATGGCTATAAGTTTTACTATATGAGCTGCGTCGGATATTTAGAAATCGGCATTATGCAAATGAATATCAATACATCTGTTATCCTATTTCGGGTTGAAAAATTCTCAATGCAAATTCTGTAACTGTTTGAGATTGAGTTGTTATAAGAACCCTACAAAACAGACTAAAATTCATCTTTTATTTCGTATTTAAATGATCCAAAATCAATCAAAGTCTTATACATGTATATGTGCACTTGCTTAAGGTCGATTTCTATCCGACGCAGCTCATATAACAAATGTACGTGAACTTTCTTGTAAAAGAAAATCCTTTATATTATCAAAATCTTCATAAATGTATTGCTATTGAATAATGTCTTCCCATACATTAATTCGTCGATATTTTCCCGTATGCAGTGAACTTAACTACGAGACCTCTCGTTAGAACTTCGGCTACCGCACAGCGAAAGTGCGAGGGGAAACCGTGATGAAAGAATGTAAACAAACGTGCACTGGAAGGTAATTAGTAATTACTGATTTTTAAAAAACAAATGGAATAAACCAAATCATTCAACAACTTACTGTTAAGGAAAAGTTAAATAAACAAATGGGAACGCCAAAAAAATGTTTTATGCGTTCCCATTTGTAAATTAAACTTTTCCCTAACAGTTGTTAAATGATTTGGTTTATTTAATTTAATTTTTTTTCAAAAATCAGTAATTACATACATAGTGATTCTTAAACAAATAAGCTATAAGAGGAACGCAATATGTCTTCATCGGAATGCCAAATTTTTCTTGAATTCAAGTCTTTCATGAAAATCATTGGAAGTGAACAAAGTCTGAATTTATTTTCCCATTTCTCATTTACCTGACAAATTAATAAGTTTGTTTTCGCTCTGTCATATTACCTCCTATTGAAAAGTGATCAGGAAAGTTCGGTAATTATGCAAATAATAATTCGCAAGCCGGTGGAAAAGTAAAAAAAAAACATAAAAAAGAATGAAAATTTATCACTGGGTAAAGCAAGTTAAACTATTGTGTATTGAAGTTAGCCTTAACTTTTTTACAGCAGTAAAATATGAAGGCAACACTTTATCTATTTCATGCGTCCGAGCGCCCGAAACGTTTTCTGGATTTACACTCATCCGGAACGCTCATAGCAGAATATTTGAAAGCCAATGATGTAAAAGGACCAAAACAGTTGAAGAGCTAGCTATATAATCAAAAACGGCATACAAATGATAGCCAAATCCATCTTTGCCTGAAGGAGTTGAAACCTTAAATACTTCATAATTTATAAATTCATAAACGGACAATTTAAGAAAAGTTTGTTACTAAAAGAGGGACGAAGATACCAGAGAGACAGTCAAACTCATAGATCGAAAACAAACTGACAACGCCATGGCCAGAAATAAAAAGACAAACAGACAAATAATAGTACAGATGACACAACATAGAAAACTAAAGACTAAGCAACACGAACCCCACCAAAAACTGGGGGTGATCTCAGGTGCTCCGGAAGGGTAAGCAGATCCTGCTCCACATGTGGCACCCGTCGTGATGCTTATGCTATTACAAATCCGGTAAATAGTCTAATTCGGTAAGTCACATTCGTGAAAAGGGAAGGGTATTGTAGTTACGACATAAGGAACATATCCGATATCATCTGTGATACGGTTATTCCATAACGGTCAACCAACTCGTGATGGCGTCCGTAAAATTTACGAAGGGATGATTTCAACTTCACCATTTGGATTAATAGCTTCCTTGTGAGCAGCAATCCTCTATCAAGGAAATCATGATAGGAAATACAAGCCCGGGAATATCGTATCAATTGGGAGATATATACTCCGTATGCAGGCGCTGCTGGATGTTCACACGAGTAAACTAGAAGTAATTTAAGGTTTTTTTACCCCTTCTGTAGGTCTGTGTATTACGAAATTTTCAAGGTGCAATAATATGGTATCTTTCGCCTCTCTTTTTGAATGCAAGAGACGTGCCGTTTAATTTATATTCCAAAGGGACAAGTCGTTCACAGCAATAATATTTATTGTTTCATTGCACTTAATAGAACATGAGGACTATGTGGCAAATCAAGCCAAGATTTTTACAGAAACCTACATACTATTTACAGAGATTTTCGTAATAGCATTTTAAAAAATAGATTACTCATTTAAGTTACTCCATGTTGTGCTAGCATTGATTTTTTAAAATAAGTCCTAAACAACCTTAACAATCTAAAAAACCTCGTCCTATTTCAATAAATCGTTGTCAAATCCTATCCCAGCACCC